ATTATTAGAAGAGGGGGCGTAAAAAGTAACGTTTAACTTATGTTTAGCATTTAGGCATTTGTCATGCACCGTTTTTTATATACCTAAATACTAATTCAGAGGGTGGTTCTTGGTGAGATTCCTTTATATGTATGAACATATGTACGAAAAATGCAGGAATATTTTATAAATGTATGCGTGCAAAACGGCACGTGACGCCTTAGCGTTTGTACAACAACTTCTAAGCGTTGGACGTGCACCTTTTATACGCTTGAATGCTTTCGATCAGGTGCCGTTCAATAGGAAAACTCCGTTCTGCGTCCGTTTGATGTGGTGTACTTGTATGTATTGCCTATGCTTTTCTCAACCTTCTAACGGATATTGGAATTTTTTCCTACGTATCGACTGCCGTGCAGGTCTTATTTATATTTTTTATGTGGTTTCTGGTATTGCAGACCCTTCCGGTTAATTTAAAATTATGCATAATGCACATGTTTTAGCTTTCTACTGTTATGAAAGGGGTGATTGATTTTAGTAATCGATTAGGTTTGTAGAATAGGCTTTAGCTAAGTGGATTTTATGTTATACGGACATTTTTTTTTAAATTTCAACAAATGCAATTGGTTTATCATAAAAACTCCAGGAAAAAAGACCTTCCAATTGATGCCCGAAAGTCGTTCTGTAGAACTTTTTCCTTGCATTTGTTTTTCTTATAGAGCAGAGCTCAGTGTTTGTCTTCGTAACATACCTACGTACTTGACGCTCGATCGAGTTAGATGATGAATTCTTTTAAGCCATTGTTGGCCAGAAAAGGCTTCATTGCCCATCAATATAAAATGCGCCTTGCCTGCGCGTAGAGCTTTCATAAGATTCTTATAGTTACATTTGTGTAGGTATTGATAAATGTATTAAAATCTTCAAAAAGTTCGGTACGGGGGTTGAAAAAAGGGCCGCTGTGATACCACTGACGTAAGTTGAATCACCAAGTGAGCATTATGCAGCGCAGAAACAATCTATAAAGAATGGACTTCTAAAGAACTGGTTGCTCATTTTAGCCAAGGCAGAATAATGGAAGAGATAATATTCAACACTCACTATTACTTCGTCGTCTCTGCAGTATGCAGTATGAAAGCTTTCAATCACTTTTCATCGACTTTGGGAGAGATGTGCTCTGTAGTCTGACAGATGGGTTCCGCGATTCACAGGGGGTTTACCTCCTTGATGAAGGTAATTTTCTATTTGTGTTTGTAGGAGGATAGCAGTATGACCACTTCCCGGGCAGAATTCACCCCGAATATTTCTGTCCATTTTTTTGCTAGTTCGTAGGCCACCCAACGGTTAATAATCATTTTTATGCCAGCTGGTTGAGAGCCCCTCTACACTTAATGGCTGCCTAGTATGTTATTCCGTTAGATTTTACAGATTTAAAAGCAGCCTGTCTTTCCGAATAAATTGTTGATACTATGCCGCTGTGAAGCAGCGGATGCTATCAGCCACAGGGCGGCCACTTTTATTTTCGTTCAGTTTTGCCTGAAGAACTCCAAAGTGGTAAGGTAAACGAAAACCAGGGTTTGGTGAGAGTTGAATGGAGTGAATCGCGCTACCTACCCTGTCGCTTAACTTAGAATGAACTGTATACAAGTAGCCGCCGACACTGAACCTATTTAGGTCTGTGCCACCTTTCTCTTCGTTCCTCTCTGAAATTATTACGGAAAATTTTCTGAGGAATGGTGTTGAATGATTTTCATAAATTACTCGTAAGAATTTTCAGGACCTTCGGATATACGAATCATAATCATATTCTAACAACAAAAGCGACCCCTCCATAATATCACTGAAAGCTATAAGAAAAGGAAAATATTAATCCCCAGCTCAAAAATCAATAAAACTACAAAATATCTAAAACACACCATCACTCAATTGCCTGGACACTAAATTCAAAGCAACAAATGCTACACTAAATAACTTAAACACAAAAACAACACGAAACCAATTCAATATCAAACAAAGTTTAATGAAATTAAAGAGAGATACCACAACAACCCCTTTATCTACACAGATGGATCTAAGGTCGACAATAATGCAACGTATAAACTGAATTTATAAAAATGTTAAACCTTTCCTGCTATAGCTCAATATACTCCGCAGAAATTATTGCCATATTCGAAGCAATAAACACAATTAATAGAAAAAAAACAAAAATTTTGCAATATGCTCTGATTCTCTTTTGGCTATCAATTCTATAGCAAACATATGTATACAACGACGAACATTACTCAACAACCATTAGAAATATTATGACAGCAAAATACCCTAAAATAATAAGTACTAATTTGGGTGCCGGGACACGCCAACATAACCGGAAATGAATTCGCTGACTATACCGCTAAAGAAGCATATCGGACGACTTCGTCTTGGAATTACAACGACTACACACGGACATCTCTTGACAAACACTAACCCAAAATTAGGCCAAAATTACCATACCCCATATCCTCCCGCATTGCCCAATATACTTCACCCGCAGCAGGGAAGTATTTAGCAACACAAACCCAATGACCCACCTATCTTCCCCAACTTCTGATTCAATATCCTTAATCAAAAAAGTCCTTAAAATAACCAACCTATGCCATAGAAATTAATATACAAAGTACTGTAATTCTATACAAACATATTAAGCATAAGCCCTCGATTGTATTGCTTTATTTTAAAATTATCTTGTAAGATTTACTCTTTAAGCCAGTTTTATAAATAAATAAAATAAATAAACGGAGAGACCCTTCTTCTTTTAGATTGCCCAGTACGGTGGATTACTCTGAGATTTCTAGTGAAACCTGACCCAACCTAACTAAGTGGGACAATAATAGGGTTTACATCTTATCAACGACCATTATTAATCAATTTATCAGTTCCAGCCATTGTTAAGAATAGTTTCTATAAGTGGGGGCTTTGCAAGTCTAGGCGGTGGTGGCATCGTTTATAAATTTATGATTCAATTGCTCGGCGCGTTTCAAGAAAATGAACCTTAACCTTAATGACAAAGAATACTAAAGTACTGGCAAAACCGGTTCTAGGGTAGGCCCATTTTTTGTACCCTTTATTATGACATAACTTTCAAAATAAAACTTAATCATAAAATAAATTGTAATTCATCAAAAGGGGCCCCAATAAACCATAAAAAAGGCATTATAAACGCTTAGATAATTATAATAATAATAAAAGATTGGCGCTTACACATCTGTTAGTGTTTGGCCGAGCTTCTCCTCCGATAGGTGAGAGACCAACAGTTTTATGCCGACTCCGAACAGCGATTGTATTTTTTTAGGCGCGACTACTGACAGCGGGTGCCTAAATGCATGCTACTCCTGCTAGTGCAGAGAGAGCTGATGGTGACCACCGCCAAGGACATTGCCTTGCAAAAGTAATCGCTGAAATACACGGCAAGTAGTCGATCGATAATCGACGGAGTTTACTTGGTAGATACCGATCCATCAGTCATGTAGTCGCTCCCTCGTACTTCAGGGTGTGTACTGCTGCATGTGTAAAAATTTATTTTATGCAATTTATGAAATTTTTGCTCATGCACTTCTCAGCTGCCATGTAATAAAACTTTCTTAAGTTTTATTTTGATGGCACTTCAAAATATGCCTGGCCTGGTACTCCGGGAACTGCTTCCGAAGCATTTTGCGGACTCTGCACGAACTTTACCGTTGACCACAGTGCCTACCCAACTTTTTTGATAAAATAAATATTTGTTTTTATACATAAATGCAAACATACTGGTCTCCCCTCTCACTCAGTTATTCAGTATTTTTATGAGAAGCTTTTAAAAAATCACTTGTTTTATTTTTATTTTTTGATGTTGGATTGAACTGGGCTTGAACCTAGGCCCTGCCAAATGGTAGCGCGCACTGCTAACCGCTACACCACAGCGGCCGCAAATGATTAACCCTAGAAAGATTACTCTACTGAAAGTTGCTGAATAGATAACCATACGTCTGTGAGACGTAGAATGGTTTGTTTGCCTTATTTTTATGGTAATAAAAATTGTACATATGAAAAATTATTTCAAAGAAATGTAGTCTTTGGACATTTACTTATTATTTATTTATTTATAAATATTTTTCATTTAAAATAGAAATACACCACCGATTTCAATCTTCATTTCGCGAAAAATGGAGCGAAACGTTAAAAATCATATGTCTCGCAGACGTAGGTTATGAAAGCAGGGATAATTAAATAAGGTTTAAAAAAAGGCAAGAAAAGAATAATAGGTACAAGACTAATTAAAAAAAATCCGCTTTTTGGAGTGATTTCCAATAAAGTTCCCGAGTAGAAGGAACATCGTTCGTTTAAAACTTTTCAAAGGGTTAAGTTCAGAAGAAAAAGTTGTAAAAAGTGAAACATTGTAGCTTCCAATGGAGTGTCTTAGGATATTTTTAGTTAGTCGCCACCTATGTAAGTAGTATGTATGCTCGTTTAAAGCTAGCACCCTATGAGCAAGGTAAAAATATACAAATTTTAGTAGGGAAAACCTAAAAACGTGCAACACTGATGGCATATCGCTCATTTAACTATAACTAGCCTGAGTGATTTTCTACACGTATCTACGAGAATATAATTACGTACATATGAATGTACATATGTGTGCACGTATGTTATTCGCTGCGTGGAAAAACTTTTCTGCTACCAAAAATTCCTTAACCTTTTCGCTGTTTCAAACTTGCACATACTTTTGCCACTCCAACGTAAATAAATACATACTTTCGATTTGTTTAATTACATCCGTTACATTTTTGTTTTCTAAATATTTTAACTACTCTCATACCATCTCGTTCGCAGATATAGTAAGTAATATTAAAACAATTCAAACAATTCACACAAAATGGCGTCATAGCTCATTCATTGCTTGCTATTAATGTTTGCGTGTATGATTTTATTGTATGTATGTATTAAAAAGATTTATTTGCTAAATATTTACGTAGGTATGCACATACATAAATATGTAGAATTGTACTTACGATATCCATTGATATATTCCAGAAACCGTTAGTTCACCCTTATCTTCGAGGGCGTATTCGATGAGTTCTGTATACGTAAATGGTGGTTTCTTTGGCCTGATTTTGTGGTGGCAAATCCATGGTGGCGTGTGTGGGTTGGAGCGTTTGTGGTGAGAGTTGTACACATGTACGAATATGACGTCGCATTGTTGGTGGTTGAAATATGGCGCAGCAAAATTCATGTAATAAAATAAAATACATAGTAGAAAATAAATACAATTTGGGGTTCATTTTTTCTTGCTCCATTTTGTACTAATACTTTTGAATAGTAAAGAAGTATTTAAGTACATATACACTGCCGGAACAAAGTATTGGCATAGCAAATCTTTCAAAATATAATATAATATAATTTCGTATAAAAATATGGTTCATTCTACAACAAAAAACATAAAAATATAATTCCTAAACTTTGTGCAAAACTCGCGAAAATTCAGCAAATTTTCATGAAAATTTTCAACTTTTTAATCAGATTTTCAGAATTTTTTTGAGTATGCAGATTTGTAGCCCAATCATTTTAAGTAGCTAGGAATTACCGTAAATTTTTGGAAATTTTTTTCACGCAGTCTCTTCCATACAAAAAATTTGTTTCGAAAATACTTTATATGGAAAAAATGCAAAACACCTTCAACGAAAAAAATTCTCAAAAATCAACGCGATTTTTGACTAACTCCGAACTTGCATTTTTTACTAGAATTTAATGGGCTGCATGCTCAAAAAAATTTAAAAAAATCTGATTAAAAAGTTGAAAATTTTGATCAAAATATGCTGAATTTTCGCGAGTTTTGCATAAAGTTTAGGAATTATATTTTTATGTTTTTTGTTGTAGAATGAACCTTATTCTTATATAAAATTGGCGGAGAAATATTAGAATAAAAATTGTTGCATATATTGTGAAAATGCAGTAATAGAAATATACTTGCATATGTATGTATTTCAAATAACCAAAATCGAGCATGAATTCATGTGTCGCGTATATAAAGTCCGTTTTCGCAAAAAACCAAGACCTTCTTATTTAGTAGCCCTTTCGCAGCATTTGATATGAAACCAAATGGTTTTGAAAGCTTAAGTAAATCCCTTTTACGAAAAAATATTGCCATTGAGCCACAATTACCCCTTCACCTAACAAAAATTGGTCAAAAGTAGTGTTTTTCGAAAAAACATGCAAAATCCGCGGGATTTATTCCAAAACAAAAAAATTTACGTATTTTTTATTACACTAGTATTATAGATTTTGGGACGAGCAACACGATTCCACTGTTCAAAATTGGAAAAAAAATTTTAGCACCTTAATTTAAAAAATGAATGGTTTATTGTAATTTGCAAATCATAAAAAAATACAATAGGGGTATTCTCTGAGTCTTGCAAAGCCCTTGCAAGGTGCACGGATTACACGGTTTGCAAAGCTGTCCCATACGAAAACCGGTTTTTACCGTGCAATCCGTGCAATCTGTGCACCGTGCAAGGGCTTTGCAAGACTCAGAGAATACCCCTAATATATAATGCATTTTTCAAATTTCTCGTCTCAAAATCTATATATTAGTAAAATAAAAAGTACAAAAAATGTATTTTTTTTTAAATATATCCGTTGGATTATGTATGTTTTTTTTTCGAAGAACACTATTTTTGATAAATTTTTTTAAGGTCAAGGAGTGATTGTGGCTCAATGGCAATATTTTTCCTTGAAAGGCAACTACATAAGCTTTCAAAGCCATTTTGTTTCATATCAAAATATCATATTGCTTCTGTCGAAAGCGCTACGATTNCTACATAAGCTTTCAAAGCCATTTTGTTTCATATCAAAATATCATATTGCTTCTGTCGAAAGCGCTACGATTAGTTGGCATGAAGTGTTTAAAAAGCCCACTGTGTGCCGTCGAGTTAGCTCGAATATCTTATTTTTCAGTCGAGAAATGTAATTTTGAAATTTTAAAATTACTACGGAGTATTTTCCTCAAAAACATATGACTCAAAACATTTGATTTCTAAAAATATAACTCAATTATAAACAATATATAACAAAATAAAATAAAATGTCTTTCATACTTAGGCGTACTAAAATTCCTTTTAGAGGTTATATTTGGGGTAACATTAAAAATTATACTTATTTAAAAAAATTCGAAAAATAAAAGTTACAGAATTTTGAAGTTTAAAAAATCGGTAAAGCAAAAACATATACCAATTTTTGTATACAATACCTCTAACTAAGCTTAAAACATTCTGCTATTTTAAAGATTTTTTTTTTAAGATACGAGTTTTTGAACTTTGAAAAAATAAATTTATTGCATACATATTAGTTAAAAATGTATATATATATTTAAATTCAATAAAAATTGTTTAACATAACTTTATTTTTTTTTGCTCTAAAGATTTTTTTAACTTGAAAATTCTGCAAATTTTTGAGTTTTTTAGTATTGTTTCTTTGTAGCGCTAAATATCACCTTTGAACCGAGACCAGAACCATTTTTAAAGCTATAATAGTTATTGTGATATTCAAAAATAATTTTGCGAATCCCGGAAATTGTGAACTTTAGAATTTTGCATAACTTTTTTAATATTTTTTGTCCCTTTGATGGAACTTCATTATATGATAAAAGAAAAGTTCTGACCAAAATTCATCCACCTATGACTTTTCTTTGTTTGGTTAGGAAGAAATATCTGTAAACTTTCATTCCATCTCTAATCGAATACGGGAATATAATAGGAATGTTTTGATGTTGGTTGTCTCGCAGCGCTTAACAGTCTGATGCGTAATTTTTTGACCAGCAATTATTTGAGGCACTGTAATAAAATTGGGACGTCCTAATGTATGCTTAAAGGAATAATCGAAGCAAGATACTGATTCTTTGATTTTATGTAAGATCTTTTATCTAATCCGATTTAATCGTAAGCCCGTTACTTTTAAATGAACACAAAAGAAATCCTGTACGAGCTTTTTAACGACATGAACATAGTTAAGCCCAAGAAGAACCAAGTGCAGAAGGACCTGTCCCCACTTGGGATGAACACCTGGCCCAAATCTGCAAAGGAGAGAGACAACTGGCAAACGGTTGTAGTGGCAAATAAGAAGAATAAAATATATTCATTGTTCGGATTCCGATACATAACAACACACTCATCTTGAGTCCAAAAATATTTCAAGATCTTCTAAGTTAAGAGCACCAATTAATATAGAAACTTGTTTAGAGTCCTGATACGATTAGCTGTAGTATTTCACTCAAAGATTTTTTGGCGAATCTAAGTTTACAAACTGACTGAGTCAGGTCCATGGCACTTATTGTCTTTTCATTCAAAACAAAAAAAGATTAAATATCCGCAAAACTTACGCTCTTTGCGGCGAGTTCTCAACGACCACATTTTCAGCGACTACCATATCGGCACCATCCACCTCTGCGGTCACCTCCATAACAAGCTCCTCAAACTTTTTACCAGCCTTTGTTGAACTTTTCGGAGAACGCGTGTAGTCATTAAACGGCTGCTGCATGCTCGGAAGTGGTGTCGCTGCCGAAAACGATGATTGTGGCGAGCAAGAGTTCGAT